TGTTTTCTCTTCTACATTTCCCTGCATGCGTATGCGTGCGAAAGTTATGCGATTGAAAAGTATTTCCCAAAAGTCATTACCCCCAAAGCTTGCGTTGCTTGCGTTTTTTGCCCCACCTCAGCTTTTCACTCTGTTTGGGTGAACGTACATATGTATGTACATAAGTATTCTATTTTCTCAAGGGTAATTAGTTTAGAAATTTTGTGCTTTGAGATTTACACGCATGGAAACAGTTTTAAATTGACAATTTTATAAACAAACAGTGAAAAAGTTATGAGGCCGTCTGCTGGGTGTTCTGGTTGTTAGGTTCGGCGAAAGAGCGCAAGGAATTCCCCAAAACCGTTGCTAAGCGGCCAATTTAATAGACTTAGCAATTAATAAAATACGGTTTTTGTTGGTAGTTAACATTTTCTGCCAGCAATTAGCTAGGCAGCAGATTTTTTGATAGCGTTTTTCGTAAACAATTTTTGAATGAATCAGTAATGGTTTTACATTTATGCATGGGAATATATGTACATATGTATGTGTATGCCATTTTTCTCGTTATTTTTTAATGCCCCTGCCATTTGTGGTGCTCAAATTTCACCAAAAGTTACCCAAGAAGGCAGCGTCGAACCAATTTTGTTAGCTGCTGACAACAAAAGGTTAAAAATGGAACAGAAAAAATGCAAAATATAAAACTTCATGTATCGTGGCGCTGTCTAAAGCAAAGAAATAGAATATTGTCCAGAAAAAAAGGTTCTACCAATTCCATATACATATGTACATATGTCGCATATGCCAATCAGAGCAGCTGTAGTTGTACATACATACATACATATAAAGCAAGCAGGCAGTGCTGTGAAGCGCAGCGAGGAGGGTCATGTGTGAAGTGGTGGTCATATATCATTTTCATTTAATGGGCGCTTCACAGCTGAATCCCATTTTGACCCTGAAATTTGAAATCTCTATTGTATGCGCAAACATACATATGTACATACATACTTAGTCATAACGAAAAGGCATAAGCACTCACACTAGCATTTGAGCTATAATTTGAATAAAACTGAAAAAGCGAAAATATGAGCTTGTGTTGCTGCTAACAATGGCAGCGGGCGAAGCAAAAGGGGAGTGCCCGCAAAACAGGCTAAATTGTCGGCAAAGCCAAACCGGCAGAGTCATTTAAACCACTTCAGGGGACTGAACGGAGTTTATAGTCGATACATACATACTCGTATGTATGTATGTAGGAATGGGTATATTACTTAAGTGCGGGATTGAAAAACATACGGACGCACATGTGCTTTTGTCACATATGTATATACATATATATATACGTTCATACATATGCTCACTTAAATTATTTAATAGTGAAGTATGTATGTGTTGTGTGTGCTTGTGCTTCGCTTTGGCGTTGCTGTTAATCAACCGAAAAATAATATTAATGGAAACAGCTTGCTACTTCATGAAAAACTTATTACATTATTATCCTCGCATGTAATTAAAAAATAAAGTTTGAGTGGATTAAATGAGTTAGCCGCTTTTATTTTCGTTTGTAGTAATGATTTTTTGGTTCATGCGACAGTAAGTTATTTAATTGGAAAATGATAAAAATTTACATGCTTATTAAGAAGCGTTAGAACATTTAAATGTTTTAATTTAATTAAGTTAAAATGCCAAAAGAGATTCCAAATTTCCAATTTTCGTCCAGTAACGTATTTTGTAGATTTAAGGCTTGCGAGCTTTTTTTAGAAAATAATATACATACAAGATACACATTTTCCAGTCAAACAATTGTTTGGGTTATATTTATATTTTTTTTTTACAAAAAAAAAGATTTTGTAGATACAAATTTATATTTTTTTCATTAATTTTAGAAAAAGCGCTTTTTTAAATTTTATAACGAAAAATTACTTTCATTCGTTGCAATAAAATTTATGTGACAACTTAAAATATCGCATAAAAATTATGTTTTTCAAATTTTAGTTTTTGGCAAAATTTTACGCATATGATTTAAATTATTTGTTTCAGAAAGTTATTTTTTACAAAAACCACAAAAATTGTTTAGTCAAAAAATTTTTCTGGTTTTATTTTTTTTTAATCTTAGAGAATAATGCCCTGTTTTAATAATTCCGTAACGAAAAATTACTTTTTCATTCGTTGCAATAAAAGTTACTTAGCAACTTAAAATGTCGCATAAAAATTATATTTTTCAGCAAAATTGTACGCAAATGATTTACTAAAATATTTTTTTTTCAGTTATTTAGTTTTGTTAAGTTAATTACCTATTCAGAAAGTGATTCTTTACTAAACATCAAAATGTTTTGGTAAAAAATCGTTTGATCATTTAATTTTTTTTTTACTTTAAAAAATACATAATCCTTTTGTTTTAATAATTTTATTACGAAAAATAACTTTTTCATTCTTTGCAGTCAAATTTAATTTACAACTTAAAATATCATATAAAAATTTAATTTTTCTAAATTTCAGGTTTGAGCAAACTAAAATATTTTTAACTTATTCAGTTAATTATAAAATTGTATACTAAAAAATAACGCAAAAGTCCTAAAATTATTATTATTTTTTTGATAAAGCGGAAACTATCAAAATGGGGCAAATCTATTTTATTGCAAATCGCTGTACAAGTTTCATAGCAAACATGTTTGGAATCAAGCTTTTGTAATGATAATTCTTCGACAAAATAAAGTTATCAAATACTTGTAGTTTTAGGATTCAATAGTTAATAGCAAATTTAGGTGTAACGAAAAAAGAAACAATTAACTTTTTTTTTAATCCACTCGCTTGGGGGATTTATATTGTAGTTGTTTTCCATTAAATTTTTGACAAGTCCGCCAAATAGTCGTGGCTTTTGGGGTTTTCGGACCTTTTAGATTGTTAAGTAAATCCGTTTGAACACTTTTAAGATAAAATTTATATAAGGCATTGAAAATTTATTCCAAACAAATTTTTTTTCTCTTAAATTTCATGTCGCGAGATAAACTGAAATTACGCTTAAAAACTTACATTTATATAAAAAATTTTAATTTTGTCGCCAAAAGCTGAAAGTTGAAAGCTAAGGCAAAGACCTTAAAAATGGTTCTACGGTTTCCTTAAACTCGAAGTACTCGAAAAATACGTATTTATTACAAATTTAGACTGTTGTGTTAGTTTTCCAGGATTTTCGAGAGCCCTTCAGCTAAATGCGGGATTGCCGCGGGAATTAAAAGACAAAAATTTTAATTTTAAATTTGGCAACTGAAAAATAGCTTCGCAGTCATGTTAAGAAAGTAAAATATTGAGTTCATTTCCATATTAAACTTAGTGAATGGCACTAATTTTTTAGCATTTAAAACGTACTGAGAATACGGCGTAAGCCTAATAGGTATCTAATGAATTACATAATTTCAATGACGTAGTCGTATGCAAATATAAACTAAAAACAGGTTAAATGTATGCAAAACCGAACAAGAAATAAAAATTGGTGGCCAAACGAACTGAGAATTTAGTTAAACATTTTCGATTGATCTGCAAAAAAATTTGGCTCGTAAATTGATTAAGTTCTAATTAAATTTATTTCGTAATTCAGTTTTATTTTCTGTTCTCAAAATAAAAAAAAAAAACATTTGTATATAAAACCAGGCTTTAGCAGAAATGCAAATTGTTTGGCAAAAAGTTGTTAATTTAATTATATACTTACAATTAATACTGTTTTAAATGGATGACAACACGCAATAAAAACAAGCTCATTTAGAAATTAATGCTAACAGTAGTTAATTAAATTAATAAAGCGAAGTGAAAACTGAAGGTAGCGTGCAAAAAATGTATAAATTCAGAAAAATAAAAAAGAGTTTTAGCTTTAAGCAAAGTTGGGTAATAATTTAAAAAGTGCATAATTTAAAATAACTTCAAATTTTTATCTAAGCCATTTCTTTATTGATTATAAAAATGTTTAAAAACAAATTTTCTAAAACTTGTAAAAAAAAAATACTTCGAATCTCTCGAAAGTCTTAACCGGTTTTATTTCAAACATTGGAAAGGGCTTTTGAAAGGGATTATTTAGAATAGATAAAATTCATAAAAAATTATTAATGTGAAAATTAAAAAAAAAATATTATTTATGCCCCAGTGCGAAAAGCTTAGAAAACATCCGAATGCGAATATATTTGAAATTTAATAAAAAGATGTGAAGTGGCTATTTAAAAAGTATCAAAATGCGTTCGTAGTTTTCCAGAACGCATAAAACTAAAAGAAAATTAACACTAATATTGCAAAAAGCTTCAAAAAATTCAAAAGTCTCGGAAATTCTAAAATTTTAACTTCGAAAAAATAACCAATAGCAAAATGGTATCGAATTTTTACAGAATAAATAAAGTTACTCGCAGATATTAAAATTTAATTTTTTTAAATATCTACTGCAAATACCCTAAAATTGAACCTGGAGTATAACAAGTTTTCCAGCTTTAAAATTTACCAAATGATATACGTTTAAACGCAGAAATTTTTTTAATAAGAAGCTTCCTCAAAACATCCGAAATTGTTTCGATTATCAAAATATTTCCATAAATTTTCTGTGAATGTTTTTTAATTTACGTATATTTTGCGTTTTAATCAATTCTTTGTCATACTGAGGCAACCAAGTAGTGCTTACGAACTCTACACATAAACGGAATTTGTTAATAAATGCACGGAAATTTCTAAAGTAGAAAAGTCTTTGAGTGCACACAATACGAAAGAAAGAGTTGAAAGGTTATATTTTTTGTAAAAATTCGCTGCCAATTCAGAAAAATCGTATGAATGCATTTTGTTCCATTTTACGATTTATTTTTACGTAAAATGTGAAAATTTCTCAGTCTAGGTTTAAATATGAAAAAGAAACACACCTCTATGTAAGTATGTGCATACAGTTGTAGAAACTACGAACGCACAAGCACTCGTAAAAACTGTTTAGCAATTAACAAATCAACATTAAATGTTTAATATACATTAATATAAACCTTAAGAAAAAAAGCCCATTAACTCACCTTTAACTTTACTTGAACCGATGACACCGAATTGTCCCTGATATTGATTTTGTACTGAGAGCACTTCCATTTTCTGGCGCAGCTCCTCGAAGACTTGATCGATGTGGATCAAATCGTTGGCGTGACGATCCACCAGCTCGGCATCTAGTTCGAATTGTGCTTCGAAATCACCGTCAGGCTCACACTCACACTCGCACTCGCGTCCACGCTCTGCCGCTGCCAGTGTCAATTCTGCTGCTTCGCCGCTTTGGCCTGCGTCCAGCGCCTCTTTCTCTTGCTCAAGCGAAGCTTTGATATCGATTTCAGCCTCGCTGTCGTCGTCAATATCACTGAGGTTGGCGCCGATGCCTCTTCCTTCGACTGCTCGCCGCCGCTGCGCCTCCACTTCGTTTTCGACCACACTTTCAGGCGCGTCTTCAACCTGCGACCACTTAGTAACTGTTCGCCGTAGCGCTGTCGCTGCGTACCCTCCTCGCTCTTGCCTACGCCGCTGCTGCTGCTGCTGCTGTGTGACCGCGTCAACACGTCTTCTATGCCTTTGGCTGCTGCTGAGCCTTTCCTTACGCTGCTTCTGCCTGCTTTTGACCGCAGCCGCTTCGTCCAAATATCTCGACGTCTGATCGACTGTAGTCGCTTCGACGGCTGCTTCCGTAACCGGACTGGGCGGTATGTCGACGGCTGCGCTGACGGCGCTAGCAGTGCTAACAAGCGCAAATAGTTGTTTAATGCTTGTAGTGGTGGAGGTGTTGTTGGTGGGTGTGTTGCCGCTGGCGCTGATTGCCGGTGTGCTTGTGTGCTGATAATTGGCGGCTCCTCCTGTGCTCGCTTGCCCTCCTGCTCCTGCTGCTGCTGCTCCGATTGCCGTTGTGGCTGCTGTGTTGAGTTGGTTGTTGTTGCGCGTTGTTGTAGTGTTGCCAATTTTAATGTTGTTAGCGCCGCAGTTACCTGCAGCGTCCGTGTGACGTTGGAAAAAATTCTGATTTGTGGGGGTGCGGCCCGTGCTGCTATGATTTTTAAGGAATTTGTGTTAGTTTGCTTATTTCTTTTAAGAATTTGCTTCTTTAGGTTAGGTTGATTTTTCAATTAAATTACGCTTAGAAATGCACTTTAATCACAAATATTGTTTCTTTTGTATTTTATTCGGTTTTTTGTTTTTTTTTTTAAATAAAATTAACACACAGTTAGAAAAAACGTAACACAAAACGGCACAAAATTGCTATGCTACTCTCCTGCTACTCTAGCTAGAATATCATGCGATGACTGTCGCGCGCGGCTGCCTGTCTCCCGCCTGCTTCCTGCGTACTTTTCAGCTACTTTAGTTGTCATTCGCTTTACGACACATTTTCACCATTGTCGCGTGGGTGTGCGCTCGTAAAACTCGAACTGGGTTGCTTTGTAGTCTTCAGGCTTATGCTAAAATTTTAGTAGTTTTTTCTTGCGATGTTGTTTTGTTTTGTTTTTATAACAATTATTATTAAACATTAATTAATTTGTTGTGGCTATTTGTAGCAATAGTTGTTGCTTTAGAGGTTTACTTTTTACTTATTTAACAAAAACGTAATTTGAAAATAACAACTAAGTTCAATTTGAAATTGTCTTTGCATGGGCGCCGTTACGCAAATTTGTTATTCTAATTTGTTGAGTTTTTGTATTATAATGAATTGTTTATTAGTTATTGATTACATTTTATTACTTTGTAATTTGTTTGCTGTTGGTATTTAGCTTTTATTTTTATTTTTAATATTTTTATGTGTTTTTTTTTTTGTATTTTAAAAAGGCGTTAAAAAAGGAGTAGTTATGTATTTGTTATACCGCTGCTGCTTAGATTTGTATTAGTTTAAATTTTTAGCATTACTTTATACGTTAAATTGCTCTCGCATGGCTACGCAGTTGCTTGTAAATATTTTTCGTTAATGATTTTGTGACCGCTGCTTTGGACATGAAAACTTGATTTTGCCGCAAGCCGCTTCAATTCACATTTTCACTAACGGTTTGTGTAATTGCTCAGTTTTTGATTCAAAATTTATTTGTTATTAATATTTTTAATGATTTTTATTAGCTTTTTAAAAAATGAAATGATTTTTATCCCTGCACTTGTGTGGTTTTATGCGCTACGCCTAAAAAAATTTCCTCTGCAAGCTGCTGCTGCTGCCTCCATTCGAATCTCAAACTTTGGCAAGGCTTAGTTTTCTCAGAAATCGCAAATTCCTCCGAAAACTGGTCCTCCACTTGCTATTACCCTCAGCTGCTATGCTTGCAATATGCGTTGACTTGCTGGATTTTTTTTCACTTCCGCAATCTTTTTTTTTTGTTTTGTAATTTTTCTTCACTTTTTGCCTTCCGGCCGGCTGAGAGTTTCCTGCAGCTGCTGGTTTGCTTATTCTGCTCTATGCACTGCTCTTCGTAGGCTTCGTCTTCGTCGACAACTCCTTGTTTCTTCCACTCATTCACAGCACTAAAATATCACTTGATTTTATTTTCGTATTTGTAATTTGTTAAATTTGTGGTTTCGCCCTTTTCTGCGCACTTGTTTATCTACGTTTTGTGTTTTAAGACGGCGCTGGTCACTTAACTGCGTTCCGCCAAGCGCCCTTCCTGCCGGAAGTCCGTCTGCAGCTGTATTGCCTTTTCACAAAAATATTTTCGCCGCCTTTCCTTCCGCTACTTGCTTTGTCGACCCGGCCCGTTTGTGCTTCTTATCTACGTTTTATTTTTCACTTTTACTTCTTTCCTCTTTACTTCTCATTCTACGTACTTTTGCGGTTTCTTGGGCTCACATTCACAATTTAATTGCGGATTTTGGCTTTCTTCCACTGCCACAGACTGTTTTTTTTCACTGCCGCTTCCTTGCTCACACTGCTCGCTAGCTTTTGTGTGGCTCTTTGAGCGCTTTTATCTTTGCTGCGGCGTGCTTTCTGTAAGTTGTCAGCAAATTCTTTTGCACTTTTTCCGGCTTCTTGGTGGCGACCACAAATTCCTGTATGGCAAAACTGAGACTTCTTCGGCGTATTCTCTACTGCTTACTTGCTTTCTTGTCTGGCGTCTGCTCGGTCTCACCTGTTTCGTCCCTTTTCTTTCACTTTGAAATTGGATTTATTTCATAAATGTCACTTCCTTTTCCTTTTCAGCAGCCTTTCACTAACTGCCTTCTATGCACTTTCTTTTATTTTTCTTCGCGTCTATATTTTCTTACCATTTGCCGGTGGATCCACTGTAGCTTTTTGTTGGGTACGCGTCGTCTCGTCACGCCACGTCTTAGAACATTTTCGTTTTATTTTACTTTGCGTGAGCTGGTCGCCCCCCTACTTGTCGTCGCCGTTACCTCTGTGATTTTACCAAATTCAATAGACGTTGCTTACTCGACGCTCTCTCAGCTGCTACTGACGTCCACTGCCGCTGGCACGGTGCTGGTAGGCTAGATTTCTTGGCTGTCTGGCTGGTTTTGGCTCAAAAGCGCTCGGATTCACACTCGCTGTGGTGGCTGCTTTGTGGGGCTGGCGGAGATATCGGTTGCTTGTTTGTTAGTTGGAGCCTCTTTGGCTCAGCAGCAGTTTGGCCTACTCGCAGCTGATTTGGTTTTCACTCATTTGCTACTGGATCTTTTTTCTGCTGACGCTGAGTGCTTGCTGGTTGGTGTTGAAATTGTTGTTTTTCGATAGCTTTCTGTACTGGTTTTCTTCTGCTCTGCCAGTAGGTATGACGCGCCTGACTCGTGCTCTCTGCTTGTAATGTGTTTTTTTTTCTTCTGCGGGTTTTATAGCAAATTTAAGGTCTTCTTTGCTGTAAAAATTTAACTTTGTGTTGTTCTGCTGAATTTCGTAATTTTCAAAGGAAAAAGATTACCCTTTTCTTCATTTTCTGCGTATCGGCAGAACTACGGGATCTTAGCTTGTTTTTGGGCTATTTCTGGTTGTATTATATGATTTTTGCTCTGGTTTGAATTTTATAGTTTTCATTACATTTTCAGCGTCTTTGCTGCATATTTTGTTCAAAAAAATTTTACACAATCTTTTTTTGCAGCCAATCAACAAAAAATTGCATTGGTCAGCTGTTTTGCAGTGTGGTCGTGTGTGTGTTTCGCATGTACCTATTGGAAAAGCACAAAAAATGGCTGGTTTTGCTCAAATGTCTGCCGCTATTGAGTTTTGCTTTAAATGTCAAGTCTGTTCTTTTTCGATGGCTGGTCTATTGGCTCATTGTGAAAGCTAACAACAGTTTTTATGCAACATTTTTTGGCTAAAGAATATTTTCGTCTCTTAAAATTTTCATGCAGCAATCCTTGTAATTTTTATTTCTGTTTGCTGCCCGTTTGGGATTTTGGTTGCCTTAATGTCACTGTCGTCGCTGTGGTCGTCGTTGTCTTCGCAGGCGTGCAGTTTATTGAATTGAATTCTGAAATGTTCCTCTTCTTACAAACCAATTTCCACGTTACGTTTAACCAGCAGAGTTGTTACGAAGCTACTGGATCCGACCGGCTCAAAGTGCTGCTATTTATAGGGCTACCCAGGCCGTTACAATCAACGATTTTTCCATGCACAGACGGGCCATCAAAGCAGCAACAGCAGCAGAACAGCAAAGCAAGGCAAACCAACCCAACAGGCCAATTCACGGACCGACCAACCAACAACAACGACCCGGCTAACGATTTGTATCTGACAGATCCCTACTCTCCGCTTACATTACACGCCACAATGCAACGCACATACATATGCAGAGAAGTGCATATATGCGTGTATGAGTGTGAGTGTTTGCATCTAATTGTCTGAGTGACTTCTGGCAATCGAATAGAGGTGAGCGCCTCTATGAGTGAGGCTCCTTTTCGCACCGATGCCACCTCCAGCTATATGTAGCTCTTTACCATGCGCTCAGCGCACGCGTTTACTCTGCACTCACTCACTCTTCTACTATGTCATAGTCTAAGCGTGAGTGTGAAAATGGGTGCTCTCGTTTGTTCTCTTTGCACAGCTGAACTGTACAGAACATCTGTTTCGCGAGCTCCAGCAATCAGCTGATTTTTTTCTTCACTTCTTCACTTGCGCACGCACAGATGTTTTGCTTAGCGAAGGGAGGGGAGCGTGAATTCTGAGCAAATGGGATTGAGTGTGTGCGCTTAACGATTGAGCTGGAGTTGCGCGCTCGACAACACTGAATAGATAGGGAGAGGTTTTGGGGTGGTTCTCAATAGGCAAGTCGACTTGCTATGGGTAGTTCAAAAGAGCGGAGAGTTTA